GCTTCAGGACATGTGGCTCTCGTGTGGTAGAAATATAAAGTAACCAGGCACTCGTGTTCATCTGAGATAATGAAATGCCAAGGATATGCTCCTACTCAACAGAAGCAGTGCACTATTATACAACATTTGTTATGGCTTTTCACAGTTTTTATGATTAGTAAAATCATGCTAGGAACATGAAGAACTGGCCAAGGCATAGGTTAAAGAAAATTCAAAGACTTATCAAGCCTTAACTGAAATAAAAGAATGTCCAGGTGAACAAGAATGTGTAGTGAAATCCAGGAAAATATTTTTGACACTGTAGACAGCCAAGCCTTTTATCATATATGAGAGTGATAGCTATTTAGCCAATGATCTATCTCCTGCAGCACTGAGGAAGACATTAGCCTTTTTGGGACACAATTCTTCCAATTCTACTACTTCCTTCTGGATTGCTATTGTTATTGATTCTCAGATACTTCCAAAACTGCATTATTACTCTTGAAGGCTATAGTAGAAACATGTCAAACATATGGCTGCAGTGCCAGTCTAGCCGACTCACTGAGCCACTGGAAATTAGGGTGTGGGGCTGAGAGCATGGTCTGCCATCGAATTTAGGGCCCTTGGGACCCAGTAAACATGGCAATTGGCAACAGGAGGGCAAGCACACAGCCCCTGTTGCCTTGCAGCCACTTGTGCACTGCCTTACCTCCCTGACTGTTGGCCCTTCCCATACATCCCATGCTGGAGCTGTCACCACAACATGGAACATGAGGTGATGGCAAAGCTAGCTTTGGCATGGGGTAACACAGTGAGGGCTGGAGCCACTGCCACATGTGCCAGGTCAGAGTCAGAGCTACTACTGCTATCACCTTCACATGCTCTAGGTCAGACCTAGAACTGGATCTGTTACCATGGCTGTTACTGCCACCACTTCCTCATGGTCCATGCTGGATCCAGCTCACAAGAAGCTGGAAACCAGTTTCGGGGAAACCGGAAACCAGTTTCGGGGAAACCAGCACGGGTTCGTAGCAGGTAGATCACACCTGAATAATCTAGTCTCTTTTTCTGACCAGGTTACAAAACACCTGGACGCAGGAGTAGGGGTTGACGTCGTTTACTTAGACTTCAGGAAGGCCTTTGATACGGTATCCCACCCCATACTGGTGAACAAGTTAAGAGGCTGTGACTTGGACAACTACACAGTCCGGTGGGTGGCGAATTGGCTAGAGGGCCGTACCCAGAGAGTCGTAGTGGATGGGTCGGTATCAACCTGGAAGGGTGTGGGCAGTGGGGTCCCACAGGGCTCGGTCCTTGGACCGATACTCTTCAATGTCTTCATCAGCGACTTGGACGAGGGAGTGAAGTGTACTCTGTCCAAGTTTGCAGATGACACAAAACTGTGGGGAGAGGTGGACACACCGGAGGGCAGGGAACAACTACAAGCAGACCTGGACAGGTTGGACATATGGGCAGAAAACAACAGAATGCAATTCAACAAGGAGAAATGCCAAGTGCTGCACCTAGGGAGGAAAAATGTTCAGCATACCTACTGCCTAGGAAATGACCTGCTTGGAGGCACGGAAGCAGAAAGGGATCTTGGAGTCCTAGTGGACTCCAAGATGAACATGAGTCGGCAGTGTGATGAAGTCATCAGAAAAGCTAATGGCACTTTATCGTGCATCAGCAGATGCATGACGAACAGAACCAAGGAGGTGATACTTCCCCTCTATCGGGCGCTGGTCAGAATGCAGTTGGAGTACTGCGTGCAATTTTGGGCGCCGCACTTCAAGAAGATTGTAGATAACCTGGAGAGGGTCCAGAGAAGGGCCACATGTATGGTTAAGGGCTTGCAGGCCAAGCCCTATGAGGAGAGACTAGGGCACCTGGACCTCTTCAGCCTCCGCAAGAGAAGGTTGAGAGGTGACCTTGTGGCTGCCTATAAGTTCATCATGGGGGCACAGAAGGGAATTGGTGAGGCTTTACTCATCAAGGTGCCCCTGGGGGTTACAAGAAATAATGGCCACAAGCTAGCAGAGAGCAGATTTAGACTAGACATTAGGAGGAACTTCTTCACAGTTCGAGTGGCCAAGGTCTGGAACGGGCTCCCAAGGGAGGTGGTGCTCTCCCCTACCCTGGGGGTCTTCAAGAGGAGGTTAGATAGGCATCTAGCTGGGGTCATCTAAACCCAGCCCTCTTTCCTGCCTATGCAGGGGGTCGGAGTCGATGATCTACCGAGGTCCCTTTTGACCCTAACATCTATGAATCTATGAAGCCCTGCAGGCAGGATTGGGCTTGGGGAACATGGCAAGTTTGACATCCCTGCTATAGTATATGCTCACCCTACACTGAAAACTAGTGTGGGCAAATGGAAAATGAGCTAACTTTTTCTCCTTGTTATTTTCAAGAGCTATAAAATACAGGGTGAATGTCTGGATTTGTAGGCACTTGAATTTGTGGGTCCACAAAACAGTACAACAGCATAATGAGGGGGTTACCACATGCTCTGAGACTAGCTGATGTAGCTTCTGTACTCCTCAATGAATGAATGGAATCAGCCTAATGCCTTGATTATTCATTTAAGGGAAAAAAGATTTTAGGGTTTGCATTAGGGTGAATCTGAGTCAGGATTTAGCAAGAAAGTTGGTCACATTACCACTTATGACCCGACAAAAATGGCTGTCATGACATAATTGCAAATACAGGTGTGATGGGGATCTGTCAACCCTGCTTGCATTATATCAGGAGAACTGTGAACTTAAAGGTCAGAGTTCTGTGTGATCACACATGGGAGAGTTGGGTATAAGATTCCTAAGGAAGATGTGCATGTTAATCAGACATGAGGAATTATATGTATTTGTAAACTGAGATCTTTTGGGGACAGAAGACAGATGGTGGCATGCAACAACCAGGCTATTCAGTGGCATCGCCTCAAGACCAGTGCAAGTTCAAAACGATCAACCCACAGAGAGAAATATGAGACCCAAGAGATAACAGATAATTGTCTCAAGGCAAGTACCTTAAGTTTTCAAAGGTCAAGAAATCTTCATGTGTGTCCTTAATTTTTCATAGCTAAATTACTAAGTCAGGGGTGGTCAATTATTTTGGGTGGAGGGCCACTTACCCAGTTTTGGAAGGCTGTCGAGGGCTGCATGGGTAGCCCCGCCCCTTGACAGGTGCCCCATTCCTTGACAGGTGCCCCGCCCCCTGGTCACCATCTTGGGACCAACGTCCCAATGTCAGCACCGGTGGGGCCCAGAGAGGGGCACAGGACAGCAGGGATCTGTGGAGCCAGGCTGGGCTGCACCAGCAGGGAGTGGGGAGCTGGCCCAGCTCCAAAGATCCCCTGCTAGCTGGGACCCCGCGCTCCTGCCACCCTGCTCTGGGTGCCACCGGCACTGGCCCTGGGACACCAGTGCGGGCCCTGTGCTCCCACTGGCTCCCCACCCACTCACACCCAGTGCCCCCCAGCCCTGTGGTATAGGCAGGGGGCAGCACACAGCCCCGACCCCCTGCTCACCAGCAGAGAAGAAGCTGGTGCTGAGCATGGGGAAAAGCGGCCCCTCCCCTGCCCCACGCCCGGTGCCCCATGCTGCAGGCACTCGTAGCCCGCATGGGAATGTCCGGAGCAGGCACAGGCACAGGCAGCCCCATGTGGGCTGCAAGCAGCTGCAGCACAGGGCACCGGGCATGGGTGGGGAGGGGCTGCTTCCCCCCACCCGCAGTCCTCCCTTGCCCGGGGTCCCCCCCCTTACCTGAGCTTCCTGTGCTGGGGCAACCACGTGCTCCCAGCCCAGAAACCATGGCTGGGGCTTCTGGCTGGGGGGCAGGGCTAGGCAGGCCCCGCTGTTGTTGGAGCATGCTGGGCTTCCCCTGCGTCCTACTGCCCTTGGTTCCTGTCATTTTTTGACAGGAACCAAGGGCAGACAAATATTAATTTTCTACATTTTGCCCACCCCTGTACTAAGTAGTATGCATAGTTGGGATAGGCAAAGTAGTATCATAGTTGGGCTAGCTGCATAATTGGAGTAGAGTTAGATAAGCCTTCAGATGCAAGAAATTCTTCACATGAGAATGTCTTGCATCTGAAATCTTGACGAACTCTATCCCAACTATATAGTTGGTCCAATAAAAGGTATCACCCTAAGAAATCCTTGTGTCTCATATCATTTCTGTACCATCACACCTACAACATCACTCTTACACTACCATTAACCATATATGTACTTTTTAATAGTGCTAATTTAAAAGAAAACACAACAAATAAAAATGTAACATGGTTAATGTAAACAAAAGCAAAAATTAAAGCAATTATCCATTTTCTTAAAAAGAAAAATTAATGTGTGAGAACAATTCAGTAATAAATTTACGAGATTTCAAGACATCTGATCTTTCTGAAGAGTGTTATACCCAGAGCCCCTATCCTTTCTATATATCTATTCCACAAGGCTCTGGTTCTGTAATTAAATCTCCACAAACTCAACTTCCAACTACTTAGTTTCAATTGCAATATCAGAGCTCCAGTCAAATATCATATAGAAGATAATACTGTATTACAGAATAGCTGCTCCCTGTCAACTGACAACAAATTTATCAGTTAGCTAGATACCAGATTTCTTTCATTGCCTCCTGAAGAAGGCTATAGTTTCCACAAGTAAAAAGTCAGGCTTTCCATTTTACTCTCCTTTAACACATTAAGCACAAGTAAAAAACAAACAAACATACAAACAAACAAATACAAAAAGCAAAACCACCCTAAAGCTGCAATGTTAAATTAATTTTAATATGGTAAAGGATGTTACTTTATTAATTAAAAATAAGATCAGGACCAATCCTACAAGTACTAATACAGAAAAATACCAATGGATTTCAATGGCAGTGTTGCTTCAATTCTGACAAGATTGCATATTAAACATTTGATAAAAATTTAGTACTTGAAGTACTTAAAATGTCAGTAACTACTCAAATTAGATGTAATAGTTTTATTTTCATTTTAAAATACTAGCTCTAACAGTACCTACCCTCAAATCTTCCAGATCTTTTTGTCTAATCCATAGTAATTCTCCATATATTTTCTCCTCATACTTTATTCTCTTTTCATATTTTTCCAGTTCATCTTGGAGATGATCAGTTATCATCTGAGAAGTCTGCTGCTTAAACTTTACAACATTTAAATTTTCCCTTTAAAAAGAACAGAAAAATATTCTCAATAAAAATTTAAAATATGTTTCTGATTTTTCTGGAACACCTCATAGTTTAATGTTATCACAGATAAATAGAAAAGAAAAACTAATCTCACATACACTAATGCCCTTTTGAAAATTTTTGAGCCATATGACAGATCTACCATCACATCTTTAGATCAAATCACCTCCACTTTGTCCATTAATATATCTTCAACAGGACTACTAACTTGTAAACTCTTAGGCTAAGTACAGACAGTCAAAAAGCCCAAGCCTGAATCAATTCAGTCTTTGCAGGCTAGTCTAAGATGCACAGGTTGAACTGAGAAGCAAGTGAACACACATTCATTTCTGATTCCAGAAATGTAGCCACATGCCTGCAGTGGCTCATACCTGGGGGGTGGGGGGGCATGCCTAAAGCATGCCTTCCTGCTTGGCTGGTGCAGGCAGTTTGGGCCAAGACCTGTGAGGTGGGGCTTGCAGGGGAGGTGCAAAGCATCTTGGGAGGTTGCGGAACTGCGAGTTAACTTGAATCTGGAGGGGGTCTGGGACAGAAATTTAATAAACTGATTTAATTTCAATCAGTTAAGTCTGGTACTATATCCATCCAGGTTTATCTGAAACTGGTTTCAATAATTTTGAAAGCAATTTATGTGCACCAAACTTCTGTTGTGTTATAAATTTAAACCAGTTTCTGATCACTTTTGCCGATTTATGTGTAATTTCTGTCCCTAGCCCTTCGTAACTTGCAAAACAACTACTATTTTAAAAATAATTTTCCATGAGAAAGACTGATTTCCCCACACTCCTCCAAATATACTGGTCTGAGAGACAGAACAGTTGGTAATAAACCCTGGATGTGAGATAGGTTGAACATCCTATGTCACATGACTTAGAGTTAAAGAAAAAAAAAAGATTTACATAAATATAAAATCTGCCAATGTCATGTCATACTGGTTTTCACCCTGGATCAATCCCTTCACATGGTCTTAAAATCGTACCTTTCAGATTAACATGAAAGCTACCACAGGCAATTTTAGAGGTTTCTGAAATATAGCTGTTATAATTTATCTTTCTCTCAAAAGTCTGTGTATATATATATATATATCTGTGTTACTAAGGGACCCTCATTTAGATAGAAGGATATTGAAAAATAGAACATTTTTTTTTAATTCTGTAAAATATAATAGTATACCAGAGATCCTATAGAAAATATAGTAGTTGATCATGTAATGAAAGACTAACATGACAACAAAGATGCACAATGTCAAATGAACATTTCACAGGCAATTTTTTTTCTGGCATTTCCTAACTATTGAAAATTTTACTGAAGAATCAGTCTTTTTATCTCATCTTTATATAAAATTTTCTATTTAAAAAAAAAAGAAACTGAAAAAATAAATGTTCCATCATTTAAGACCATACTTACTCTATCTGAGCTATAAGCAGGATTGGAAACTAGTTCCGTCATACATACCTCTACTATATGAGGTAAGAGAGTAAATGTTAACTGTGTTAAGCTGTTATCTTCTATGTAAACCAGGGGTGGGAAAAATATGGCCTGCAGGCTGGATATGGCCCACCAGGTGATTTCATCCAACCTGCAGGCAGGTGCCTATCAATTCACTGTACCCAGCCCAGCCCCAGGCAGCCCCTGCTGTGCTGTCAAGAGGCTGAGCCCCACTCACTTCTGCGGAAGCAGCACACGCTATACTCCCACACAAAGGATGGTCTTGACCCCAGCTCCGTGGGTGGGGAAGTGGCAACAGCAGGTGGAGGAAGGGCAGTGGCAGCAGGTGGGAGGAAGCAGAGGTGGGTGGGTGAAAGGGTAGCAGCGGTGGTGGCAGCCGGGGGAAGGAGAAGTGGCAACAATTAGGCAGTGGAGGGAAAAGCAGCAAAGAGTAGGCAATGGAGGAAAAAGCGGCAGAGAGCAGACGGGCAGCAGGGAAACTGTGGTGGGTGGGAGCACAAGGCCTGTGCTGGTGCCCCAGGGCTGCCAGGGGTCCAGGGTGGGCTGGCAGAAGCACCGAGCCAGGGCCAGCAGGCATGTGGAGTCTTCCTGGTTCCATTGCGCAGGGCTCCCTGGGTTCTCCACTCGAGCTGTGCGCCACCAGAGGGAGCGCTGTGCAATGGAACCAGCAGCCCAGCCCCGCTCACCGCCACGTGCAGGTCATGGAGAATGGTGGGGAGCTCTGTGCTATGGAGCCAGGCCAGCTTCGCCCCTCTCCCTGCCTCCCTGACTGAGCCCCATGACCAGCACCACTAGCTTCATCACACAGGGCTCCGGCAGAGAACCAGGGCACTGCATGTGAGCCCTGTACAATGGAGCCAGCAGCCCAGACACGTGCAGTCCTGGGGCTCACTGGGACCGCATGCTGCCAGGGGCCTAAACCTGCCATAGGTCATGAACGCCCCGAGGACCTACCACCTGCTGCTACTGCTGGCAGCAGGGGCTATGCACAATGTGGGGGGCATGTGTGAGGCGGGCATTTGTAGGGAGCCCCCACACACACCCCTCACCATACACATGCACCCACACACCTCAATGCACACCCCACACACATAGCTCCCCAGCCACACACCCCTACAGCCCCCCAGAAACCCCATACACATTCACAC